CCTTCCGTTCTATTCGAACCACGCATTACCGTGTGAAGAAGAGCATCGCTCGCACTCTACCTAGCATATGCTTCGAAATGAGCTCTGACGACATTGGTATCCAGAAAGAACTAAGCTACATTCAAAGAGCTCTTAGAAACAGTGGCTACCCTAGACGATTGATAGAAGAAGCAGTTAGTAAAGGAAATGTCCGCGTGAGAGAACTAAAAGTGCAAAACCAAATTTCAACACCAGCGTTTTTTGTAGTGTAAATGCCAAATCTGAGCAAGAAGCTGCAGAAGATCGCCCATAAGCGAAGAATACAGCTGGTATTCAGACCCTAAACAACTTTATGGAGTCAGTCGATGCTTGTCAAAACCAACGAGCCAAAATCCCAAAGACAAGGCTGGATTTGCACCCTACTGTGAGTGCGGTCTCAATTACACAGGAAAAACCGGTAGCAACGTAGAAAGAACACCTTAGTAACTTGACTAGATGGCGCAACGCTGATCTGCATCAGAATGGACAAACAGAAAATATAGGGCGAAGACAAACAAAAGGTCCACAGATAGTGAAGCAGCATGTGAAAAAACTCAGCGTCTGTACACGATACATGCAGTACAAGAATAACACCGCATATTATGTGACCATCTGAAGGCAATACACCAAGTGCGAAATTTTCTAAACATAAAAGAAGCATTGGTAATACAGTCAAACCAGTGCATGAATGAACATATCGGTATGGGATTAAGTTCGTTCTAAAACAGTTATCAAGCAATTTCCACTATCGATGCTAAAACCTCAATAGTGAAGTTTGTACTTAAATACACAGACAAAAACTGTTATATCGTATCTGTAATATGTCTCATCCTGAAGTCGGATAGTTGGAGAACTTGTATATAACAGCTTTTAGTATGCGGAGTAATTCCGCCGTTAAAATGCTTGTCCAGTTTTGAACTAAATTCCTGAATAAAAGAATCCACCTTCGTTTTTAAAGTTATAAGTGACTGAATAGAATTACAGACCTGTAAATGCTAAAGCCTGAACATAAACTGGTTTTACGTTATAATTCTTTCGCAGGCTGCAAGAGACAAGTACCGGGAATGGTGCTGTGAGACGCCGTTACACCGAGAGCTCATTTTGCGCTTTATTGAGACGCAGGCTATCATACTGTCGCCAGTTTGTCCCCATGTCGCCGAAAAGATATGGCAACTCATGGGAAAGGTACGTCATTTGGTCACAATAACTTTAAGATGCGCCAGTTTACTATCTCTTCCCAATGTATGCTTTACGCTGATTTATCTTTAAGGCTGGATCGGTTCTGAACGCCTCTTGGCCCGTAAGTGCTGAGGTGGATGCATACCTTCTGAAAGAATCCGAATATATGGAGGAAACTTTGCACGATTTCCGCATACGTCTCAAAGCGTACGTTGCGCCAAAGTCAAAGGCGGTAAATATGTTAATCATCTATTACTGGTCTTGTTGGTTTGTATTTGACTGTACTTATTGCTCTCCATCAGTCAGTCTTGGTGACTCGTATTGCATACAAGTAGCGACGAAAACGCGAGTCACGGGCATATGTTTGTTGAACCCTTGCGGTAGCTATTAACATTTGTTAGGAACTCGAAGCGATCGATTAATGAAGCTGTGGTAACTAACCGACTTTGAAAGACTTCATTATGCCTTTTAATATAACTGCCTAGGAATAGCACACTCATTGTGAATCTGAATTGAAAAATAAAAGGAAATGGATTATGCTATCTTTTCATCGTACAGTCGACATTCTGAACCGAGGGTGACAGCTCGAATAACCGAAGAAGGATAATTGTGACCTCCCTGAATAAATGTCATCAGGAAATATATAGAGGTAGTAAGAACATTTTCCGCAACTACGAAGGCATGAATGGGTCGATGCAGCGTACAGCGTTGCTCAAATTGTGTAGCACGTCTTGGGCTCTTTGAACAGAGAATAAAATCAGTTAAAGTTATATTACAGTGTTTTCCGTTTTACTGGGCTATATTTAGCAGTATGTGCTTATCAGAGATTACCTGTTGGCGATACCTAACTCTCTGATTCCATTATTGTTTTGACCATGAGCTTGGGTACTTTCATATAAATAGGTTGTACGACAGTTTCTGACGCGATGATCAAGTTTATTCGCAGAGGTGTCTTCAGCGTCGACGCGGCAGGCATCGAACTTCTCCAGCAATGAGACACCAAAAATAGCAAATGAATTGCATTTATGAGTCTTCCAACTTTGTTCAGATCATTAAATGTCCTACTGGCACGTGCCAAGCTATGGGAATGTTGGGCGTTGCTGAAAAATTAAGTAAGGGGAAGGGAATTCAATGTTTTGACCGATTTTCTAGTCGATAACAGTGTTTTTGGGTGACAGAGCTCTGTATCAACCATTTCAGTTAAAGACAAACTACTATGCCAGTTTTAAATTTGTTTCTCTTCCATTAGAAGAAATAAATTATTATCAGTTTGATAGATAGCTACGATACATTATCAGACTCAAGACTATGGTACATTGTCGAGATCAGTAGAGACAGTATCTGACATGTCTACCTTGGCGACCTGAAAGAATAAGCGGTCATCGAAACTGACTGACTGACAAGATGGCTTTCATAAATTATTTTCATTAATAATTTTTTTATGGAAAAATGATACCCAAACCTGTTTATCACAGGTTTTAATCTTTGGAGGCATTGATATTTCAGTTGCTCTATTTATATTGTACCTCTTGTTTTGCCATAGTTGTAGGTTAGAATACTTATTATATAGGATATTTACCTTTCTGATGCCATTATTAGCTTCATGAAGAAAGGATATTTTAATCAAAATAGAACTTTCTATGCTTCTTCGGTCTAACTTTAGAAATGGGAAATCTTAGCATATTTTCAGCCAGAATGCGGAACCCGCCACTCTTCATTTAAAAGATGCTAAGTTTCATGATAAGTGCCAAGACCGGTGTTCCTCAGTCTCTAGAGCGTCAGACTCAGAACCGAGAGGTCCCGGGTTCAAGCTCCGGTCAGCTCAGTTTCTGAATCTTTCTCGACTCTGTCTTTAAAATAAGCACTCACATGCCAAATGTTACAAACTTTCTTACCTTCCTTAAGTTACTTGATTGATTCGATAAGTAATGATGAATAATTTTTTGTATAAGTACATTTGACGCATATTTAAATTCTTTTAATGTTTTAATCAGCGTGTAAACCATGCGTCGTGCATCGATACACTGCAAACAAGTTAACGCTATAGAGCCATGGCGTCTTTGAATGCTGCTCTCACCACAATCGCGGCATAACGGCGCGGCATGTAAGCACCTTCGCGTACATATCAGCGTTTGCCATACCATGCAATATAGTGCTCCTCCGTCTTGAATCGACATACCGGCTGCAGGTCGAGTCATCCACTCAGTTATGCCGTCGGATGTTTGCTGAACCATCTTTAGTAGCTTTCCTGACTAACGATAACTGAATATCTTTGTCAAAAACTAACGATATTCAAGTTTTAGGCCCCACCGCCAAAGCCAACACATGCGTATATTTACGTCACGGAAAGCTATTCCTCATGGCAAGCTACGGTTCTCCAGCAGCTTCAGAAACTTTACGATGTAACACTTTATGTGTTGTCTTTCTGGCATGTTACGTGACTCGGCAAAAAATTTAGGCAACTGGTCAACTGCCGGACAACAAGGAAATCATCAAAATCTGTCAGAGCATTTCTGCATTGAAACCCGTCATGAAGAAGGTGATGCCGTTTGTTTCAATGATCAAGGACAAATTCGCCACCAGTGGAAGTTCAGCTCTCAGTCTGACAGCCGATGTAAAAGAGAGGGCAATTTTGACTGAAAATCTGGACTATCTTCGAAACTCGCTGGATGTAAAAGTTTTATTTACTTGCTGTGGTGAATTTTTGACTTCAGTTTTTAGAATTTTTTTATTCTTCGGTGCTCTTTTTATGCCCGTTATTGGGTTCAGTCAAGCTTAGTAAAAATCTTTGCATGCTACAAAAATATGCGGTGAAATGGAGATGGCCCACCACTAAATAAATCAGTGAGGATGTCTGTGTTGTGTGTGGTTATATCAATCAACACCTTGAGTTGTTTGCATTACCAGAACATCTCAGGTTTATAATGTATTCTGCTCTCTGAGGTTTTTGCATGCTTTTTATTTCATGTATCAGTTTATATGTTATGGGAGGGACAGTTAATTTCGACACTCAAATTTGCCTCGGGATCAGTCTTGCCATAGTTTGTTTTTTATAATGAAAAGTTGGACAGTTCGAGCGTAAAGTTTATACGCATCAAGTATGTCTCACAGAGCTACTCTTCACATATATTTAGGATACCCGTGCCTGGAAGATATTCGTCTTACAGATGTTATGGTCAATTTGAAGTTAAAATTTCGACAGCGAGATTCTCAGTTTTCTTTCTTAACTGATTTAGTTCTACACCGTTTTTTACTCTCGTGTAATATGAACATGCTCTGCTTTAAGTAGATTTTACTTTCTCGTTTATCTGGTAAGATGAGTCTTTTTTGTTTTTAGTTGATTGGTGTAGAAATCCTCCCTTCGACTGACGGGTCTGATAAAATCGCTGAAGGATGTCGACCGGGTAAACCGATGATTGTCTTCAGGACTGAGGTAAGGATTCATGGCCTTTTAATGATTCGGGAATCTTTTATGTATAGAATGAAACCACGTTATTGTGGATTTACTAGCAAACTTCTAGTTCTTCGATACCGCTGATAAAAATTGCAATCTGCTTTCACGCGGTTAATTTTTCTGTGTATGCCTATGAATCGAAATATATCCTTTGGTGTATGAACAAAGTTTTTTTCTTTTTATAAAAGTGGTGCGGTTTTGCATCCGTGTACTGCAGGTGCTAAAATACCACATAGCCGTGATCTGTTTAAACGGTTTCGTAGACTACTAGAAGCAGAGGTGCGGTACGACTCCTATCTTTCTCTGGTGTGAATCAGGCAAAGTGCCAAGGGACATCTTATGCATTTTAGTCTTCATTGTTATTCTGCTCTTTGTGCAGTATTCTCATATAAAGTTTAAAACTTTTTAAAGTTAACAGAAATATATTGTTTCTTGAAAATGATTGTTTTTTCCCTATTAGAGTCATTGGGCCAGTCAGGTAGTCATCGAAGTCCAATTGTTGTAGGTTTGCTGCAGTAGAGCCCTTAATTGCAGGAGATTTTAGAGACGTCAAGTCATTGGCGACAGTGCGATGGCATCAGATGGATGCTGATTTGGCTTCACTGTAGACTGTGGGCAGGATCGTGTACAAATTATTTTTCTTTTCTTGAATTCGCTGATATAGGCTATGTTATTGAAACCTGTTAGGGTCGTTTTCATGCAGATGATGATCTTGTTCTTTGCTTCACTTTTGCAAGCCCTCGAACTAATTTGCATTTGGTAGTTCTGCCAATGACCCTGGAGTTAGTTGAACGCTAAAGACCCTGAGATTAATCGATATAGAATTTTTATGATTTGAAACAGATGAGGTCACAATTAAGATGTAAGCAGAAGCGTTTTATATACCGTATTTCATTAAGTCAAATGATAAATAAACGGTTAAAAATTAAGTTGATCGTCTTTGGTCTTTGCAGTTGTTAATGTGAAGAGAATTAACAAAAGTCAGTCATATTATTTCAGTGTTTTGATTTTCTGCATATCATCCTCAAAAATTACTGTTTTTTCCATCGTCGTTTAAGACTAATAGCGCGTGAACATCAGAGTAGTAACCCAGATTTGCAACGTTTTACTGTAGTCTCAGATTTATATTGGGCTACTCGCTGCTGTGACAGAAATCATTCATTATCGCAGGCAGCGCTTTTCTGCGTGGTTTAACAAGTTTTATTTTTCTGTGAAAGTTATTAAGTTAAGTTTTTCACTATTTATTAACAAGTCGTTGGAGGGGGCGGGGAGAGATTCATTCGGTAGATCATCGTACTCACAATCAAAAAATCGTCAGATCAGGTGTTGGTGTCGCTCTCATTTTATCTTTCGAAAGTAAGAAAATGAATGCAAGATTTTTGGAAAAGAAACGGACTACTGTATAAGCTGTACTTTCCACATACCTGTAGACGTAACTTTACTTTCCAGTAACTACTGGCTGATGGAAAAGATACGGAATTCAACGCTGTACTGTAAGCCTTACGAATAGAAGTGATTTACAAATCCTTTCCATTATGTAATTGCAAGAGAGGCCGGCATCCAAATGGTTACAAACTGTTTTTTGTTTTTATCCTCCAACGTGTCTATGGCATGTGGACGGCTATCCTACAAGAAAAGTTTCTCACCAAAGAACATGAATGGCGGTGGAAGGCAGTAAAATCTTAACGGGATAGAGATGTATACGTCACTAGGTGTATTTCTGACTCCGCTACGTGATGTCGATTGCGTCTCATCTCATGGCAGTCAGTCTAGGCATAGGACGATGCGAATTTTGTATGAGCCTTTGATATCAGCTGCCAGCCACATGCATCAGAAATGTTTATTAGAGTGTTTAGCATGCGACTCAACATACGGCACAATTACACGTTGAACACTTACGACTTAGATCTACTACGTCCATTCTGGCTGTAATCTCTTCCTTTATAATAATTTAGCAAGACTTCAACTCCGCGGTTGCCATCCCAAGCATGGATGAAAAAGGAGGAAGGTTGGGGACCGTGGCGAGGTTTGCCTTAGAACTTGACCACTTGCCCCTCATCGTATTGCTGTTATCAGATGTTATACCGGCTCGGTAGTCGCTTCGATTACTAAAGGTCGCGCAGGCTGTTGGGAAATTGAGGCAGACTGCGAAAAGCCGACCTAGTGGTTGTGTTTGCTGACGATTGAAAGGGGAGGGAGAGATCGAACGGCGAAAAAAGTGGTCAAATTGTTGTGACTAAAGGAATGTTGAGTTTAAAGACTAACGTGTCTGCGTTTAGGTCAAATCATGGGTCATGACTTAAAAGCCTCGATCTGAAGTACAAGTGGCAAAAATGGGATTTATGAGGTGAATCGCTAGGCTCTTGCGTTTCGACATGGTCTGGGTTTCGATATCTGCGAGAGCCTTGGTGTATAGTCGCTCCTTCTTCGGATTGAGAAGTCAAACGCGATGGTTTGTGCACGACTTGCAAATGTTTCCACAAAGAAAAACGAAATAGCCACTAGTTTCCCTACCGACCGACCAAAAGCCTTGAGGATAGCCAAGATTAACCCGGGACAGATGTATTGAGGGATTCTGTTCGAGACTCCTGTCATCTTTTGCCGACACAAGCTCTTCCACAGGATCGGAAATTTTGGAGTCACTGTCTAACATGTCTGTCTCCGCGACCATAAAGGATGAATTATCATCGAAACCGACTGATTGGCTGCGTAAGACTCGGTAATATAGGTCATTTGTCCTTAATTTGACTGGAAGTTTTCATTTTCTTGAATCAGTAAATCAGATGTCGACCATCTGTAGCAGGAAAGGCATTAACGTCAGTGTAATAACCATGTTATTGATGTATTGCTTTGCTATAAAGCAGTGGGCATCAAGATTATGCCATTTCATGATTCGTTTCTCACCTAAACCAGTGTCAGAATATACTTTGCATATCTTCTTTCCTTAACATGTTTAGAAACGGCTTCATCTGTTAATTGTTGTGAAATGATGATCATGGTATGGGCATCAGAGAGACGTCATTGAGCATGATTGGCGAATTTTTTATTTAATCTCTTATATCTGTTATTTTGGTTAATTAATTCATCGCTATGCTTTGACAGTATATTGACAACTTTTTAGTGCTCCATCAGGATCAGCATCATAAATCGACAACTTTACAACGGAGTTTTCAGTGTAAGGCTCGACATTGTTAACGGCGACACGGTATCGACGATATTCAGGAGGTTGTGTAGGAACAACCGCTTCCTTCGACGTACGTTTCTTCCATCATTGTTATCTGTAGTAAAATTAACCCTTTCAGGCTATAGATCAGTGAAAATGATGGCTTTTATGGATCATAACTTTGGACCTAGAAAAATTTTTTCCGGCGTTACAAACAGTCGTGACGTCATCGATATTCCGTCAACCGCCTCGTTTCGCGTCAATTCTGATACGCGTACACTTTGTGTGCAAAATGGTAACAGTGACTTGAACGTGTCTGTTGGTACAAGTTTGCTGTACTCAGTTGAAGATTAGGTGCCTATAAAAAAGATCTGTGTTGTACTGTTTGGTTTTTCTTCGGTTTAATTTCTTAGAATTAATTTTGGGAGGTACATCCAAATTAATCAGTCGCATTTAATTAAACGTTGACACATTTTTCTGTGCAGAGAAGGAAACAAGATTTCGTTTGGTATGTTTCGAAAGGGTAAACAACTCAAATATTTTACCGGCACATTCGCGGAACTGACGTTTCGGCTCTCAGATTGTCACTACCTAGTGAAGTTTGGCATTTATGTCTGTTGACCAATTTTCGAGTTGTCAAAAAAGATTTTCGAGATATCCTATTTGATTACAATTATTTCTAAAAATGCTCATAGCGCTTTTCAAGGTAGCGGGGGTTCTTCCAAAGTTTTCAAAAGGCTCTATGCAAAGAATTTTATTAAAGATCACATGGTTAATTTAAAGCATTATTTATTTAATTTAACTATTTAGTTTAAATTCAGAGTCTGCACTGTTGAACTGTAATCGTCTGTGGCCGCTTCTCTTTTCGGATCGCGGAGGCAGATGCGTCAGACAGAAATTCCAGCGTTTCCGGTCTTGTGTCAGAGTCTGAGCTTCGACACAAGACAGCTGGAATCTGGAACAGTCTCCTTTCTTATATTTGCACCAAATTAATCCTGGCCGTCCCCTTGACCTTCTGCCGGTCGGTGTGGCAAGAAAGAGTTTCTTAGCCTTCCTTTCTGAAGGCATTCCCAACATATTCCCAGACCCTCGCATCTGTGACTTCTCAGTCTGAAGAACCAGAGGCTGTGCACCAAGGCTCTCCCGAATATCACTATTCCGGACAATGTCGAGACCCATAGGGCCAGGACTCGTCTAAGAAAGCCCCATTCAGCAGCTTGTACCCTCATTCCAAGTTTTTCAGTGAGGGTCCACGACTCATGACCATAGGTAAGCATGGGGATAAAGATCGACTTGAATACAGAGCTTAGTTTTCGGACTGAGCTCTTCTTTACTCACAGTGGATCAAGCTAGTTCACGCAGAACGCTACTGCCAATGCCAGTTCGCCGGTCGACCTCTTCCAATTTTCCATCACTAGTAAATACGACTCTGAGGTGTTTGAACTTCTCCACCTGCTCCACTGCCTCTCCGTTAATCTGAAGAGTGAAAAGGGCAGGATTACGAGAAAGCTCTAGAGTTTTCTTTTTAGATGCGTTCACACGCATGCCGGTCACGTCGCACTCAACTGCGAACTTTTCTGTGGAGCACTGAACATCATTTTCAGAAGATGTCGTCTGCAAACATCCACCTTCTCGTCTTAACACTTCCTACACTCCTGACTATTCTGTCCATGTACAACACAAACGGGATAGGGGCCAGGACGCAGCCTTGGCGGAGACCAGTGCGAACAACTTTGTAAGGTTTCGACTTAACGCCATTTACTCTGGCGCAGCACCTGCTATCAGAATCCATTAGCAGCTGGCAATCGATCCCGATGCTCGCAGGCTTGACGACAGGCTGTTTCGCGGGATCCGGTCATAGACTTTTTCTAGGTCCACAAAAAACATGTACACCGGCTGGGCATACTCTCACGATTTTTCAGCAATCTGACGCAAGGCAAATATATGGTCAGAGGTGCTTCGACCGCGCCGGGAAGCCACACTGCTTTTCTTGGATCTTGCGGTCAACTATATCACGGCCTCTCCTTTCTAACACCTTTGCGTAGACTTTACCTGGGAGGCTCAATAACGTTATGCCCCTATAATTGGAG